ATATTTGACGACTGCAGCGAGCTGTATGGGCCCAGCTGGGTACTACTTTACAGTATGTTCATTCTACTCACTGGGGTTTATGCCTAAAGTCAGACTTGGGTTCATGTATAGGTATGTGTCAGCTGTGCTAGCTATTGGATATATTTAGACTAATTAAGTTCATTGGCAGATCAATTGAATGGGGGGGAGGAGGCATGTAGGGCAACCGTGGATGCCAGGGACAATGTGGGAGGAGGATGGGACATAGCAGAGGGTGGGGGATGGGGAATCAAGGATGGCAAAACAAAAGGCAAGGTATGCAGGACATAAGAATTAGAAAATTATTTGCTGAGAACATGTATGTTGATGTGCTTGATTGAGCCAATGCACAGTGTATTTTGGATGGAAAATTCATGTGTGTGTTGTGATGGTATATAGTGAATTAATGTAGAAAATGAATAAATTTTAAAAAATTAAAATATAAAATTATAAAAAAAAATTACTGTAGGTTGACTTTATGTAGCAACAATTTATTGTATACAGCCATTCCTCATTTAACAGCCAACGTCTTTAATGACCACTTGGACTTAATGACCAGTTCTCCAGGACAGGGATCCCCTTTCTCAGTCTTTGTCTCCTTCCCATAGTCAGCTAGGGTTCACTACACAAAGCATTCATAATCATGCAAGACTATGTATTTTTTTTTATAAATTTGTACTTTATTGTGCACTCATAGTAGTATTCAGAATAAATAAAAATGATTATGCTGGATTTAAATTATTGTATAGTGTGTCTTGTCACTTTCTGGTGCTTATCTAATGTATACTTTTTGTAAGGATAGAATTCCATTATTCTAGTGTGGTAGTGTGTGACAGTTATTGAAAAATACATACCCTTTGGTACCATGACACACCACAAGACATTTGCCTTTAAGTTCCTTGCTTATTGATTAATTTATTTAACAATCTAGACATGGGAGTTGAACTCTGTCATTAAGTGAAGAGTGCCTATATTTCAAATAACTAAAAGAAAAGATTAAACACAAAAAATAATAAGTATTTGAGGCAATTGATATGTTAATTATCCTTACACATTGAGTTCATGTATCAAAGTATATTGTACCCCGTAAATATGCACAATTATTTGTCAATTAAATATAACAATTTTCAAAAGAAAAATACTTTTATTCTCCCATCATTTTTGTACTCTATTTTATCTTTTTGAACATTGCAGTATAAATATACTGTTGTATAAAATGACTCAATCAAGACAGAAATATTAATTTAAAATGCTATATTTATATATATATAGATAAAAAACAAAAAGAACAAAATACTTTCATGTAGAAAAATATCACTTTTATTCTCAAATTTGAACATTCAACTAAAGAAATAAACAATATTACATATAAATTGATATTCTAATACCACAAAAATTATTTAAATTATTTCTATAAAAATTAGCCACATTCCATTTACACTTTCCAAACTTCTCACTTCTATGTATACATGCTTAAGTGGGGCACGTTATATCTTCATGGGTCCCTGTTTTACATGTATGTTTCTATTGTTATTGAATGAATGAATCAACCATCCTTATTATAAGGTTTTTGAAAAATATGACCCAAAGTATCTTATGACTCACATTAACCTTCTAATTCAAATATTACATTTCTAAACATAATATTTTTATTATTTTTCTAGATGACAGATATTTGAAGAGGTAATGGTATCCTTTAGGAACTTAACTTCTACATGGGTTTGAAAGTGCAATTAGGTACATGAAGATCTGAGAGAAATGAACTATGTTATGTAAATTCTTCCACGTTAAGCTCATAGTCCTAGAGACAGTTTTGTCTTCTCAACTACCTTCTTGAATGCACCCTTCACCTCTTTATTCCTGAAGCTGTAGACCACAGGATTCAGCATGGGAACGACCATAGTATAGAACACAGCTGTAATTTTGTCTGTGTCCATGGAATGACTGGAAGTGGGGAGTACATACATGAAGATAATAGTCCCATAGAACATACAGAGGGCAGTGAGATGGGAAGCACAAGTAGACAAAGCCTTCTGGTATCCTGTGGCTGAGCGCATCTTTATGATGGTATTAAATATGAACAGGTAGGATATCAAGATAACTAGGAGTGCAAAAAAGATAATGGAGCTGGCTGCATAAACATTAACCAGCTCATTAAAATGTTTGTCAGAGCAAGAGAGAGCCATGATTGCTGGAGAATCACAGAAAAAGTGATGGACCACGTTGGACTTGCAGAAAGAGAGACTGAATGTTTCCCCAACATGAATAGAGATAACCAGGAAACCACAGACATAGGAACCCATGGTCAGGCACACACACACACTTGTTGTCATGGTGGTGGTGTAATGTAGGGGTTTACACACTGCTGCATAGCGGTCATAGGCCATTGATGCTAAGAGTAAATTTTCCACACTGCCAAAGCCTCCAAAAATAAACATTTGAGCAATGCAAGCATTGTAGGAGATAACTGTGTTTCCTGTAAGGAGTTCAGCCATGACTGTGGGGATGACAGCTGAGGAGTAACAAAAGTCAGTCAGAGACAGATGACCAAGGAAGAAGTACATGGGAGTGTGGAGACGAGAGTCACAGAGAATCAGCACAATCATCCCCAGGTTTCCAAACACATTGATGATGTAGATGAGAGTGAACAAGATAAACAGGGGAACCTGTAGCTCTGGGGCATCAGTTAGTCCTAGCAGGATGAATTCAGTTACTTCTGTTCTATTCTCCAACATTGTTGTTGAGAATCAGATGCTCTGTAACAGTGAGAAGTAAGGGAACAGTATTAATCATAGTATCGATCACACTGAAATTGAAATATTTCTATACCATCTGCATTATTTTATAATAATAATAAATTTCAAGCTTCTTCATAACTAAAACATGGCTTAACAAGAAAATGTAGTATATTATCCATAGAGCTCCAGACTGTTGAATGAAGGATTTTATGGATGATCTTTCCTTTTTAAAATGTGATATATTTATAAACTGAGATTTACTGACAATTCTGGAATTCAAAGCAACCAGTTGAGCATTTTCTAGCTTAGAGAATTTGTAGAATTCTATACTGCTAATGTGCTCTAGACACTTTTACATCTATACTCACTGATTTTTCTCAACAAATGTATGACGTTGAGTGAATGTTAATGTTACTTTCATTTATATTTTGAAGTACCTGAGCTTGAATAATTTACTCATATTTATATAAATATTAATTAGCAAGCCACTATTTGGTCCCAGACAGGATCATTATCAAGTCCAATGGTCTAAAATAAATTTAAATCACATTAAATTTTGCTCAGTTTACAATTCTTAATTATCTCTGTTATTCAAAACACAGAGTTTAAAAATTCACTGAAAGCTAACTCAGAAATATGTGCATAGTAGATGTGATGAAATAACTGGGGAATATATAGCCAGCAGAGGAAATCCTGAAGATAAAGCAAAGCATTTGATGTAGAGCTTGGGCTCTGAGAAGAGGAGATTTCATCTCCACATTAAAAACCTATGAATGTAGTCAGTGGAGTGATAGTTAAGGGCACTTGATCCCACATGGCTAACTGTGCAGTTCGAGTCCCAGATCCAGTAGCTTGAGAAACACACCAGGCATGTACATGTATCTTCAAAATACCAAAAAAGGGAAAGATGGAGGAGAAAGGATGCAGTGTGACCATCCCACATGTTGAGGGGGGCGGGTGATTTCTCTCTCTCTTTCTCACACACCTTTTAAAATTAATATTTAGCTTGATTTGAAAGAGTCTTTGTGTGATTTAATGTCTCATTAATGTGATTTCATAGTTGAATCACAGATATTAAGGGTGTAAATCTCATAACAGGGCAGTTATCTTTAGCCTGTATTGGTAGAAAGTACCATTTTAATTTTTTAAAAAAATTCTTAGTCTAATCTAGTGTAGAAAAGGTATTTAAAAGGTTTAAGGATTTTTTTTTTTGAGAGATTTGCTATAGGGCACGTGCACTTGCCAGAAAGACAGAGAGAGACAGAGACACAGAAAACGAGAAATAAGCCCCCATGGGGGATAGCCATGCTGCAATCCCTTCTCCTCCATTCTCCTCTTGGGATCTTGGGCATGTACGCACACGCGCCCAGCATGAGTTTAAGCCGCCGGGTCCGGTACTTGAACTGTGGTCAACTACATGGGAGTCCAGCGACATAGCCATTACACTAATTGCTGGTCCAATTTACTGATGCAATTTTAATATTTATAACCTAGCTTCACCTCTGTGTTTTAGAAAATTATTTGAACTCTCTAATTCCATGCTCAAATAACTCATTGTGGGCCTAGATACCCCTACTTTTTTTGGCATGAACTATGGTTTTCTCTCAAAGTGTATATTGAATATAGAAACTTTTGTTCCTTGAAAACAAGCAATATTCAATCCTGAATAGTGAATTTCAAATAAAAAATGTTTCCATGGAATAGTACGTGGACTCCCATGCAGTTGACCACGGTTCAAGTCCCAGACTCGGTGGCTTAAACTCACGCTGGTGTGTATGCGTGCATGCCCAAGATCCTGAGAGGAGAATGGAAGAAAAGGGATTGTGGTGTGGCCATCCCCCCTGGGGGGTGATTTCTCGCTTTCTGTCTCTCTGTCTCTCTCTGTCCTTTTGGCGAGCACACGCACCCTGTAGCAAAAAACCTCTCAAACAAAGAAAAAAAAAATGTACCAAGGTTTCTAAGGCAGGGAAAAATGGAGGAGAAACATTAATAGACCTTCACATCATGAATCAACCATGTATTGTCTCTTTATCCTGGGTGGAGTCACTTACTTCTTGTTTATCTGGAAAATGAAGATAATAAAATGATCTTTTTCACGTAATACACAAGATTTTGTTTCTAAATATTAAACAATGGAAAGTTGGCAAAACAACTTACTCCGTAGTTATTATTTAACATCACTCAATTTTAATAATTTTAAACCTTGGGAACCAGCAGTTAGCATAATGGCTATGTCGCTGGACTCCCACGTAGTCGACCGCGGTTCGCGTCCCGGACCCGGTGGCTTAAAACTCACGCTGGGTGCGTGTGCATGCGTGCCCAAGATCCCGAGAGGAGAATGGAGGAGAAGGGATTGTGGCGTGACCATCCCCCCTGGGGGGTGATTTCTCGCTTTCTGTCTCTATGTCTCTCTCTGTCTGTCTGGCGAGCGCACGCGCCCTACAGTGAAAATCTCTCCAAAAAAAAATAAATAAATAAATAAAAATAAAAAAAATAAAAAAATAAAAATAATTTTAAACCTTGCGGTATATTCCTTAAACATGGTTGTGGATTGATAGAAAATCTTCAGGTCAGCAGGTCTGTTTGTACTAACAAATATTAACACTCAGATTAATAAATGTTGGCTAAAGGAACCAAGCACACAGTCTGGCCTCTCTAAACTGAAGTCATCTGGAGTCATATATTATTTCAGAGGCTAACCCATGTGAGTCAGCAGGGGATTGTGGAAACACGAAGATCTCTGAGAATGTCCCCTATGAGGGGATGTAGCTCCTCATTCACTTTTCAAGGGAAAAATCAATGAATCTGCCAGTTATTTTATCATTTCATTATGTTGTTCTTTCTGATTATCTAATATAAATCATTAATATATATTTTCCAAATTAATTGGATAAATTATTATATGGTCCCAGACTGTTTGAGCTATATAGCCCCACAGATTACACGAACAACTTCCCACTTTCATAATGAACAAATTGAAGTGCAGTGGTTCAGAAAGTTATGATTTGTGTATTGTAAATACATCTCCCAAATTCTATCACCTAAGTATTAACAGCTAACATTTAGAGCACTCATTCCAAGCTCATATGTGCACACATACACACTTAATATACATAATCCTCTCAACAATCTTGTAAAAAATATCTAATATTTTGTTTAAGTTTAAATGAGTATAAACTGACACAGTCAAGTTTTGAAACAGGCAGAGTGATTACCAAGACCAATGCTCTTGTCTGTTGTTGAATTGAATTGAACTGAACTCAAATCACATTTATTAACTGTGTCCACTAGATCAAGTTTAGTGTTTGGGGTTAAGTGGAGTAATTTGCCTCAGACTGGAGGTGAAGAGATGGGGTGTCCTGAGGGGAAGTGGGCTATGGATTGAGAAAAGATACAGAGAAAAGTGGGGTTGAGTGAACCTGGCATCTCTCATGGAGACCCCTGACCACCAGCCATTCTGTGCTCATTCTTTTATAGGGGAGGTAAAGCCATATGCTTTCTATTATTGACTACAGCTGTGGAGCATCTAAACAACTCTCTCTTGACCTTCTCTGGCTAACACTCAGGTTTTTTCTATCTGTACTACCAAGCAGTAGATAATGTCTTTTTTAGAGCTTTCACTTGCAGCAACAGCACAAAGATGGTATCTACTTCAAAGCACTCCTTTTAGTAACTAAGATACCTATGTAAACTGGATGTAATGAAATAATTGTATCACATTCATAGATGCATGTACAACCAGCATATGCAATTATGAAGAGAAGGTATGGCATTCAGTGTTAGAATGTGGGCTAACAGGTACAGGCATATGTAAAACAAACAACTTCCTCACCACTTAGTACTGGGAGACATTGATTCTAACATAAATTCTTTGAGGATTATTTTATCACTTTGTAAGGTGAAGCAAGTAATAGGATCTATCAAAAGGGGTATGATAAGAGTTAAAGGATGCATAGAAATCAGTTAGCACAATGCATGTGTTCAGCACCATCTTACTCGGTAGTTATTTAAAGTCACTCAATTTTAATAATTTTATCTTGTGGTATACTCCTCAAACATGGTTGTGAATTGATAGAAAATCTTCAGGTCAGAAGGCCTGTTTGTACTAACAAATATTAACACTCAGATTAATAAATGTTGGCAAAAGATTTAATAGTCGTTTCACTCTGTTTTGCTTTGACATTAGTATTAGGATGGAAGCTGTGTGACCTCAGGACCACAATGGGTAGGTAATTATGAAGTCTGGTAGTCCCACTCTTGTTTTGCTTTTCCACACACAGCAGGTCTACTCAGTCTTTTCTGTGTCCTCCATTGTATCTCATTGCATGACAGCCATTCCAAGAAAGAACCCAGAGACGTTTATCTTATTTTTGCCTAATTTTCCTTTCACTATATGTGGTTTTTTTTTTTTTTTTGCTACAGGGCGTGTGCACTCACCAGAAAGAGAGACAGAGAGACAGAAAACGAGAAATCACCCCCCCGCCCCAGGGGAGATGGCCACGCCGCAATCCCTTCTCCTCCATTCTCCTCTCAGGATCTTGGGCACGCATGCACAAGTGCCCAGCGTGAGTTTAAGCCACTGGGTCCGGAACTCAAACCGCGGTCAGCTACATGGGTGTTCGGCGACATAGCCATTACGCTAACTGCTGGTTCCTTTCATTCCATATTTTAAGGAGTTCCTTTTTCTAAAACTCATTCCTATTCTCTTTGGTCTCATTTATTGGATGAATCCTGGAGATAGAAGGTTGAAAATTTATGGATTGTTGTTTTTATTCTAGCCTGCGTGTATGTTCTTTGGTGAGGTTCATATTTATTTTTCACTTGACTTCAAAGGCTATGGCAGAAAATCCATTCTCTCTAATTGTACTTGTTTACCATTTTCCTAGCCTTTTTGCAACTTCTCTCAACATTATTAGTCCCTAAAAGCATTGAGCTTACCAATTTCCAACACACAATAATAAAATTTATAACTTTTCTACCACGTTATATGCTATGAA